CAGAGCCCCGCCCGCCAGCACTGACCGGGCCCTGTCGGGACCGTGCCCCGGGCAGCCCTTCCTGTGGGGGCTGAGGCTGCCCCAGCCTTCCCGGAGGAGGCCCCGTGCTGGACCAGGGCACGTTCCCCATCGCGGCTCAGAGCGCTGTATGGTTGGGAAACATGGGAGCGAGGAGCCCCAGGACCCCTAGGCAGAGTTGTGGTGTCCTGCCCCGGGGCAACGGGGATGTTCAGGGTAGCAGAGGAGGGATGTCAGGGATAGGGGACCAAGGATGCTGGGGCTACTGGAGGAGGGATGCCAGGGGTAGCAGAGCAGGCCTGCACCTGCGGGATGGGAGCGCAGGAGCCACATCTCCAGCTCAGAGCCTGCTCCCCAGCACTTCTGCCCACATGGGTCTTGGGGTTGGTGTCTTCTGCAGGACGCCCAGGGAGTCTCTTCTGCTTCAGAGAGTGCTGGGCTCCCCCGCCAGCCCTCCCCTGGCTCCTCCCCACTGTACACACATCCCAAAGGCCCCTCACCCCTGGAAGCTGGCCGTTTGCCTGGCTCTGGAGCAGCAGAGGGGGTTCCCATGGTACTGGCTGCCCCTCACGGCTTAAGTTGTACCTGTGTCAGCTCAGGACCTCACCAAGCTGCACTAGCATGGGGAAGGCTGCTGGGGAGCCTGGAAGAGCTGCTGGGGCAGAGGAGCTGGGCCAGGCTCTGCTCTACACTGCTGGAGGACAGCCCCAGCCAGAGACCATGGGGCTGGTGCATCCGAGCATGGGCTGAGTGGGAGCGATGCTAGGGGTGGGTCCGCATGTTGCTGGTGCATGGCCGAGGGCAATGACAGCCATGTGGGAACCCTCAGAGGCATGCGGGAGGTCACGCAAAGGAAAATGCGCTCCCTTGGGGCTGCTGGCTGAGGCAGGTCCCATGCAGGTGGCCCTGGTGCACTGGTACCAGGCAGAGCTCTCCCTGGGGCAGGATGGAGAGAGCTTTGCCAGGGTCTGACCCTGCCTCCCCCTCCCAGCGCGAGTGCATCTCTGTCCACGTCGGCCAGGCTGGCGTCCAGATGGGTAACACATGCTGGGAGCTGTACTGCCTGGAGCACGGCATCCAGCCCGATGGGCAGATGCCCAGCGACAAAACCATCGGCGGAGGGGACGACTCCTTCACCACCTTCTTCTGTGAGACTGGAGCTGGGAAGCACGTCCCACGGGCCATCTTTGTGGACCTGGAGCCCACTGTGATCGGTGAGTGTTGGGGTGTGCATGGCCTGGGGAGCAGCACCAAAGCGACCAGCTGGTGCTCCTACTCTGCTGGCAGCATCCTGCACTAGGTCCAACCCAAGGGCCCTCCTTTCCCCAGGAGAAGCCAGAAGCCTGAGCACCGGCTTTTGTTCCTGACATGTCCCAGAGGCAGCAGTGCTGGTAGTCT